CATCCATGTGGGGGAGACACACCAATTGGTTGCCTTGGTTGGCCCCGGCAAGCGCCCCCGCGACGGGCTGGGCATTGAACCCTTGACCGGGAATCTAACCCTCGACCCTCCGGTGCTCGGGCCGGTGCTCTGCCCTGAGCCGCATTGGCCCGGGCGGCTGTTGGAGTTCCTGTTACGGGATCCTCTCTCGGTACATGTAACACTTCTCAAAGCATCGCAGAGAAGCACAAAAATAACGCCTTGGCCCTCCTGTGAGCTGTGTTTATCGTGTTTGTATAAAATGGATTTTAAATAGACTGTATAGGAGTCAGACATATGCTTCCATGGAAAGGGGGACACCTGTGTTCTCTCTCGTGACTAGAAAACCGACTCTGGCGCAGTGAGCTAAAATAATTCCCGAACTGACCCTTCGACTCAGCGTCACTATCAGGGTGATTAATTTAATTTAGCCTTTCCACAGATATAAAAGCCAATGTCGTTCCGTAAAGTGCGTCCATAAATATCTCCTCCAGCACCTGCTATTGAGAGGGAAGGGTCAATAATTTTAATAATTAAACCATATTGTAAACACCTTCATTTCTCCTGTCAGCCTCTCGCGCGCAGAGTTGGCGGACGCTGCGTGTTGACACCGTGAGTCCGAACTGGAAAATTAATCAATGGCGGGGGACAGACTCCGAGAGTTCACGTACTGATCCCCAGTGTGGGAATTAGCTTCAATAGTCAGACCAAAACTTGGATAAAACAGAAGAGATTAAAATGATCGTTAAATCCGAGCTCCCTGATTTCATCGGGGCTGCATGTCAGACGATTCGATTTTAGGTAAATACAGACTTGACTTTGATGAGGGCGGAACCCGGTGCCCCGAGCGTCCTGGGGGGAGAGGCCTTCATCCTGTGGCCGCAGGAGACGGACCCGAGGCTGTGCCTGCTCGTCCGGAACCTGTCTCACCGCAGGTGCCGCCTGTGGAACCAGCTGGGTCGGAGCCGCTGGGCGCCCTGCGTTGCTCCCTGTTGTTCCAGGTAAATACATTTGGAGCCAAAAATAAAGGAGAAAAAAGAGCCAGTGCTCTTATAACTTTAATCATCGTGGGTTTTGCCTGAAGATTGTAGAAGTAAGAAATTCATTGAAGGGACAGTGAACTTGACGGCATATTAGGGACAATGCACTGTAGAGCCTTGTGCCGATTCTATGAAGTGTTCGAGTTGGGTGAAAAGGCTGAAGCCCCTTTTTTTCTAACAGGATTATGGCATGAGCTTTTATTATTGAATTTATTGGGGTGACAGTGGTTAATAAAATTACACTGGTTTCAGGTGTACAGCTTTGAACCGGTCCTCAAGGGGTGAAAACGAACTCGGTACCAACTTTAAGATAAATTAGGGTGCATTGCCTTTTGGTTACCTCACCTGCCCCGTGGACTCCTACAATTTGGAAAGTCACACTGAAACCACTGTTCGCCCAGGGTTTCTGTATTAGAGCAAGAATCAGGTTAGAGCAGTGGTCTGTTTAAAAATAACTGGCTGCAGAAGCGTGAGCCCACCTCGGCCTGGAGCACAGCTCAGGGACTCGGGGTGACAATGCCCCTTGGCCCCCTGCACCTCAGAGCTGCCCTTTGTTCCTGGTGTCTGCTTTTAGGGACCAGTTCAATGCACCTCGTTAGTTAAATGGTAGTTTGTAAACAGACACACTGGGGTGAGGAAAATCCCCTTAGGGAACACGAGTGAGGCCTCAACTAGAAATTCATTAGATCAAGTTCTTTGTAAAAGTTAGAGACTCTCCTCCAGAATATAATCAGTCACCACTTCAAGGGGCTCTACTTACCAGAGAAAACAGGCATTTTACTCTCCTTAGAAATAATCACCCACTTGGTGAGGAGAGACAGGTCAGGACCCAGGACATTCCTTAAGGAACAAGTTTTATTTTCATGAGCGAAACGAGACCCGGTGAGGAGAGGACGGTCAGGGGTGCGGCCCCTTTGTCCACCAGGCCGCATTTCTCCAGGCCGTTCGTTGCCATGTCCCATCCACCAGTTATCTGTAGCCTTTGCGGCCCGGAAAGCCTGGTCTGTAATTAGCGCTGAGAGTTGACATGAGGATTATAACCCTAAAAGCACCACCCTGGGTCTGTTAGGGGAGCTTCCCCTTGGAGCTGGTGCTGAAGGAAATTTCCATTTTGCAGGCTTGTGAATTCTGCATATCCTTTCAATAGCCAGGCAGGGCAATCAAATCGTAATTGGCTGCGATTAGCACTCCCGTGGGCTGTGAGGTTCTTTACCTTCTCCTGGGCTGCACTTAAAAGGAAAATGTTATTTACTGATGCTGAGGCATAAAAATGCGCTTTGTTCCGTGTCAGTGAGGAGGAACCGCACCTGGGCAGGGGCCCGGGACTGAAGACCCGCCCCCGCCCCAGCCCCACCTGGGCCTGAGGGAGGTTCTCAAAAACAGAAAGGAAACAGTTCCGAGTGAGGAAAAGCAGGACAGACGCAACTGCAACAAAGTAGCCTCCGGAGGCCTCTCCTGGGCTCTGCATCGGAAGGTGTGGAGGGACCGCTCCCAGGGGCACCCGCGGGGCAGCCACCTGATGCCAGGACAGGGGGCCCCCTAGGAGAGGAGCTTCGCACAAGCTTGACAGTGACGACCAGGGAGGGCGATGCCACGAGTCCAAATGTGCCAGGGACTCGGGCACCCACGGAACAGACTCCAGGTCGGAAAGGAAATGGGGGAACCAGAAATGGGGCACAGAGCGAGGACACTGCCTGGTCTCGGACGTGGACGTGGACGTGGACGTGGCTCGGAGCTGCTCCCTCAGGCAGGAGACACGGGGTGGAGTCTGAAGGCCTCAGGGACCCGCACCTGAGCTTGGGAAGCCTCCTGGGGTCTGGACAGCAGGCGGCCCCACAGAGAAGAGGGAGCGGAGGGGAGACACGATGTCGCCCCCGTGGCTGGTCTGTGGGGACACTGACCTACCGCAGGCTCACACAGCTTGTCTGACAAGGCCCGAGACTTAGGGTTTATGGGCTTACAGCGGGTGTCGCCGTCTCTCAGCAGCGCCCAGGTGAACAGGTGAATTGCAGGTATTGAGGCCACAGCTCAGGCAGCAGGGCCTCGAATGGTCCTCAAGCATGAAAGGAGGGAGAGAAGTCACCTTCCTCGCTCGGTGTCAGGACCCTCAGCGGTCAGGCCCCTTAGTGTGGAGCGTGGACGTCGCCATGGCTGAGGCTAGACCAGGAGGCCTGGGTGTGTGGAAATGTCGCCCCACGTAGCTCCCCGGAAACAGCTCCTGAAAGACCTCACGCGGATGCCAGACGTACACAGGTGCCTCCGCTTTAGGTACGGACGTCAAAACCCTCGCCACGGACCATTTATTCTTCCAAACTTAAATGATCTTCAACTTGCCACGTTGTCTCAGGTTTTTGAACAAGTCCTATGTCCTGGACCCTCCACCCAGGTGGTGTCGTCTGCAAGCTTCACGGCAAAGGTCTCCTCCCAGCCCGTGACTTGCTGGTAACAGTCTAAGTGCCCTGCGGGAGCCGCCCCACCCCTTAAACACTCATTTCAGAGCAGCTCAGCCTGCCCCCCGGCACCACAGCAAATGGCCGAAGCTTCCTTTACAGTTTTGCCCGGGTGTCGTTTCCTCTGACAGAATTTCTTCTAGAAAACGCACGTGCCAAAGACTAAATCTCCCCCGTAATGGAATTTTCTCGGGAAGTGGCTGTGCACCCCCGTGGCAGTGCCACGGATATTGACGTGTCCCCAGGTAAACACTCGAGGGACACAGCTCCTGTTAAATGACCAGCCTTGAGGGCAAGTGACCGGGAAGGGGTGTGGCCCGGGAACGGCGTGTCCATCGCGCGTTGCCCTGTAGAAGCCGCCTTTCGGTAGCTCATTCCGTTCATTTATGGCTTGGATGGTAAAACCCCTTGTTCTTGAATCAAAAACGTTTCCGGTTCCTAATGTACCTGTAGCATTTTACTCAAGAGCCCGGCGGCCAGGGCCTTGGGCGTAACTTTTGTGATTTATACAAGAGGTTGCGGGAGGGTTTGCAAAGTCTAGCGTGTCTGAGTAATAAAATTATCATTTTTATTGTAGTGTTTTATTTATCGCCATACATAAAATTATATTGAAAAGCCTCCAAAGAAAGCTGACTTGATGTATGTTCCACGGGCGGGATACAGTTGATGTTCATCACAAATGCAGATGTTTATGTGCCTGGTAGTAGGACAGCAGGTGCTTTGCTTTATCCAGAATGCAGTAAACCCCATGATGTCTAACGCTCCCCGTCGGGGAGAGTCCCTGTGTCGGTGACACCGTCGTGGGGGCGCCTGCAGCGGGGTGGAGGCGTGAGCGCGTCTCCCTCTCCCCCTTGTTCCATGGGTGAGATTTAGGGCTCCTGCCCCCTGACTCAGCCCCCTTGGCACCTCCTTTCTCCTCCGTGGTGGGGTCTCCGTCGGCTGCC